CATCATTTATTAACCAATACATAAAGGTGGCATAGCTCAGTGTTAGAGCACTTTTGTAATTACAAGGCCCTGGTTTGTCAATCCTCTCACTAGACTCAACTTCATTTGCCCCCCCCCCCCCATTTCAAAAAAAAAAAAAAAAAAAAAAAAAAAAAAAAAAAAAAAAAAAGACGTACTGGTGGCGGATTTATCTTTTACTTATCAAAAGACAGTAATACATCATCTAATGAGCTTACAGCCTGCCTAGTATGCCATATCTCAATTTAAATAGTACTAGCAAAAGTGGTTGTAAAGAAAGATTAGATGAAAATATTTTCCTAAATATACTCTTAGTACCATAACTTTAATGTACTATACTTAAACTTTTCAACTACTACTCACCGATTAGCCTAATTATGATAATGATGGTTATGGTGATTTTTTTTTTTTTTTTTTTTTTTTTTTTTTTTTTTTTTTTTTTAGCTGCCACCTCAACTACCTATTTGTTTATATAAAATGTGCTTGTGTGTGTATAGTGTGGTAGCTACAAAGGTAAATACAATATACAAGTATAAATATGTCTATAAACATTTATATACACTGACAACTAAAGATAATAAAATTTTAACTAAGTAGAATCAGTATCTCACCTCGCCCTGAGATGTGGATTCTCCCTCCCTCCCTCTTATTTTTTATTTTTATTTATTTTTTTTTGTTACTCATTTTTCTAAAACAAGTGTGTTGCTTAAGTACACACATGATTACGGAAAAAAAAAAGTACCCACAGTCTGGGATATTGAAGTGCCATTACAGAACATATTGATTTTAAACCTGTGATGCAGGGAGGTCGATCCCAAGATAAAGAGATAAATTGTATGGAAATCCAAAACCATGCAACCACAAAAGGTGAAAAGGTTTGATTCTTTTTGGAAACTTCATAACATGTATGTATTTGTGTGTGTGTGTATGTTTGTATACTATTGATGAGGAAGTGCACATAATTATAGATTACAGAAGAGGTAAATACATATATACAAACAAAAGTACAATCATACACAAGAGTGCACATGTTAGTGTAAAAACCTTTTCCCCTGACCTATGATAAATACAGAAGTAACTTCTACCACTCATGTAAGTTTTCTGAATAATAAAAATAAATAAAATACAAAAAAATATTTTAAAAAAGCTTGAATATTTGTTCTATGCTCAAGAACGAAGTGAATTGGTTAAAAAGTTAGATATAACCACATTACCACAAGCGGTGAAGTATGCAGCATTTGTCTCCAAAATGTGAATGGCGCGGAAAGAGGAATAAAGGGGAAGGAGACAGTTGTACAAAAATGAGATTTTTGCATCAAACTGACATTGACTACTAAGATTTCATGCACTAATTTTTACAAACAAAATAAAGCCAATGGAGAAATTTATAAACAAATCACATTAAATTTGAACATTTAGATCTGAAAAATGTTACCAAACCTAAGACCTTAGTCCCATATATCATTCTGAACTCAGGCAAAATGAAAATACTTACCTTTGGAGCATATTACCAAGACTCGATTAAGTCTGTTCCCTGACTAGTTGTATGTATCTATACTTTTTTTTTCACCTGATACTTATTCTTCACATGACCTATGATGTGCTCTTGAAAATGGATTTTCAGGTAAAACTTACCTATTCCCACTCGGAACAACGACCCTAAAAAATTGGTGCGCCAACGTACGACCAAAAGACTAGAACTTGCCTTGGTCAGGACGGTTCATTATGATATGCATAGTGAGGCAGGCTTTATCATGGGCAGTACAAATGGGCCGCTTAGGGCATTCAACCACGAACCCTTCGCTAGGGGAAACAAACGGGGGAAGAAAGCAAAAAGACAGGATGAGTATATTTGGTTTCCAAATGAGTTGCTATACACTTATTATTCAGTCATAATAAAGAATAAATGCTTTGTATTCCCCTCTCGAAACTAAGGCCCATGAGTAATTCCCTGTAAAAGTAAGTTTCTGAAAGAGATCCCTGAAAGAAAACCCTGAAAAAGAGCTCTGAAAGAGAACTCTGAAAGAGAACTCTGGAAAAGGACAACAACACAGTTTGACAATCTGTCCAACATCAAAATCTTTTGAATGGCTATACCAAGGCTTATGCTACAAGGCTTCCTTGTCTAAAATAAAAAGGACAATTTTGTCTACAGGGGCGTCATCACCATGTAACTTTGATCTTATTGAACTGTAAATTTTGTGAAAAACAAAATAAAAGAATATGCAAATAGCCCTCACATTCAATGTAATGAGCTCATCATTAAAGCCAAAATGAGAAGAGTGCCTAAGCCCCAATCAGAGCCTTGAAAATTTGAACACCTTAACTCTTAAAGTGACTGATAAATACTACAACGAGAGGCACCAAAGTCGGTATGAGCTGGGATGCATCTGCTTCCAATAAGGTGCTGTTTGCTGGGGTGGCGGCGGCTGCCCACTGCATCTAACCTGTCCTGACCTGCGTATAAGCCTGCAAGAGATGCGCCGAAGACGGGCCTTCCTCACTTCATCTGAACCAACCTGACCCTTCCCTTCTTTATCCAAGCCCTCTGCTTTTTCCGCCCTCACCTTGTGTCACTTATCCTTATTTTCAACTGCATTTGCATTGGTCTTTCTGACATGGATTCTTTGCTTTAGTCAGAGTATATACATTAATGACAACCTTCATGTTTTTGAAAAAGCGCAGCCTCTTAATAGTGCAGGTAAAAATGTTTTGATAAGTGACTCACAGGAATGTGATTTTTTCTTTCATCCACCTTTAGCTGAAATATTAATTTTACAATCTGTATGGAACACACCTCTCTGAATATCATATAATGTAATCTACATACAATAAAAAACATGTACTTGAAGTTGTCCTTTTACTGAATCAAGTTTCTAATCCTGTATGTTATTCAAAGAGGCTTTTTCAACATCAAGATTGTAATTCACTTACCTTAAACAAGGTCACATTAAAAATATTGAGACCTCATAGCTCAAGAAATTCATTAGCACTACTTTAAATGAACTAAGGACTGCCATCAATTTTGGGGGACAGTATTCCATCTGGCAGTCACAGATATCAACAAAAATATTATAATACATGTAAAAATATCCAAAGTTTGTCTACTAAAAATGTTGGAGGAACATTTATCTTCAATCCACTTTTCATGGTCAAACTGAATAAAAATAAGAAAATAAAAATATAAAAACAACCACACAGGTATCATTCTTCAAGTCATAGTATTATTTCAAAGGCAAAGTGGCTGTCATGAGCCTTCAGTAACAACTAGCACAAAGGCCATAGATATAAATAAAAAACTAGCACACCCTTCCCATAATTAACCAAATTGTATCAGTCTATCCTACAAACTTAAAAACTAAAAAGGAGGAAAGAGAGGGAGAGAGATTGTAAATCAAAATTCAGAAAAGGCAGTTTGACTGTAAGTTAAGACCAGCAAGAGAAATTGTGGAGAGTTGGAACAAAAGCAGACACTACACGCATTAACCCAAAACCTGTGTGCTTGTTGGACACCCAGGCTACCACGGCTGCTCTCCAACCCGCTGGGCCGCAAGTCAAACACAGCAGCTACAGACATACCTGGTCTTCATTAAGGTAATTAGGCAGACCACCAATAAAGATCTTATGGGGTGAATCGGGGACCACTGTTGACACCACACCTGCAATAACTGAAAGAAAAACAAACTTCACTTACCTTCTATTCTTAAACTTTGGACAATCATAATTATGGCATGACCATATTTCACTTTTTTTTCATATTTGGTTACCTGTCAGTATTTCATATTCCAAATTCCTAAGATCTAAAGACAGAAAAGAATGATGGAATACACACAGACATATTTTTGGAATTGCCTCATCTAGACTGCGTTACCAAACTCTCCAAGTATCCCTAGTGTTTGCACATTTAACAACAAAAAAGTATGAAACAGCCATACTTAAACAAATATGTTTAATATCTTGCATAACCAGGAATACCAAATTGTTAAAGCAGTCTTCAAAAGCAATCCCTCAATACGCTGCATGTGCTCCATGAGCTTCATACCTGGGATCTGTGTCGTACCTGGCATGGTGAGGGTCGGATGCTCTGACATGCCTGGCATTGGCTGATAATCATGAGGTCGTCTTATTTTTAAACTCTGACCCTTAAAATTAATGCCATCAAAAGCAATCGCTTGGGTAGTTTCATCAATTGATCGAAACTCCAAGAATGCAAAGTTCTTATCCAGATTAACCTGTAAAAAGAAATATTCCACAATAAATTTAATATCAGAAAATGAATTTGAAAAATGTCTGTCAACACCAAAGCATCATGAGAAATCATTAAATTGGCAAATGGCTGCTCACCTGGCAGGCTAAGACTGGGTTCCCTGCAGCCTGGGCAAGACCAGCTAGGTGCATCTGCTGGTTGAAGAATTCCATCATTTCCTCTTCAGTTACGCCAAAAGGAATGTTGCCTACATACAGACGTCGAGCCTGTCTAGTGATGGTTGAGCCCACTACAGGCACAGGCACTGTCTGAGGTACACTAGCAACTTCTGGCAATGCAGGCACAGGAACTGGCACTGTCCCTGCACTGGGTGGTGCAATCAAGGGTACGGTCACATTGGAAGGGATCTGGCCAGCAGCTGTTAAGAAATACTTGTCAGTTAACCAAAATGAGAATTTATAACTGCCTATGTATCAATTATCAATGACATGTAATTATACCTAAATCTAGACTTTTGAATATCAATTTAACCCATTAACGCCAGTATATTTTGAAGCCGAAAATAAAAGATTCTGGGTGAGTAAAAAATCAGCAGCCCGCTGCTGCGTAAGAGCGCGAGCCCCGATACAGCATCACACTGGCGTGACACCCGGCAATATTTATTTTTTCAGGCATCTCATATGTGGGACACCCGTCATGAGTGGGTTAAAGAAAATAACTGAAAACTGAAAAGATTACAAACCTTGCATAGCCTTGTACTGAATTGGTGTGATGTGTTCAAAGCCTGGTGGTGGTTTGTCCCAGTACAGCGAAGGCTTCTTGCGGCGAGACTTGCGGCGGTCTCTGGAACGTGAGCGGGACCTTGATCGACCCCTGGACCTGGATCTTGACCTACAAAAAAAATTAATGCTACTGAACTTGTGGGCAAAACTACAAACACTTATACTGATTATCATATATAAAGGAAGTTTTAAAAATGAATAAAACTATAATCTCAAATAATAAAAACATACTTGCGCTTGCGACGTTCCCTTGATCTGGATCTGCTACGCTTTTTACGGTCTCTATCCTTGTCCCGGTCTCGATCTTTGTCCTTGTCACTCCTATCTTTATCTTTCTCTCCTCGCTCCTTCTTCTCCTCCCGCTCTGCAAAGAAACAAAAAAATAAATCCAATAGAAATAAGCAAACAACATATAATATGTATTCATGTTTCAAACATGATACTCAAAATGGTCATCTTTGTGATATGTTGAGTGACCACCTCAAAGGCTAATGACACTAAAAGCAGTACCAGAATTATCTGGTATCTCTGCCACTAGCACACTGGTTGACAACCTTGTGTCTCTGCGCAACCATATCCAGTCCATCACTTGAGATAATTTGACCTGCAGTCATCTTGTCATAATCAAGCTCATTGCCTAATATTAAGAGACTTGAGTGAAACAACATCAAATATCTTTAAACTAATGCTGTATACATTCTTGAGAACATTCACTTAGATGAAACATATTGCTTATTGTGCAAGGATTTCCTACTACTATTATTTATTGCACAGAGAGACGAGTGTGACTTGTCACCAACTCCAATACAAGATCTTTGGCTCATATGGGAGGCACTGCTACCAAACGCAGCACTACCATCAACACAAGAATAGCAATTCAAAGGCTTTATATATCAAGATTAATTTTGCATTATCCTGATAACAGGGGAGGGTATGAAGTATATCAGGGATATTATGGGGTTAAACAGGCTGAAATAGATTGAACATAGAAAAATAAAAAAAAGTAAAATCAGCACAAAAAACGCTTAATAAATCTCTACAAATGTGCCTGCAATCTTTAAAACTTTACAAACTGATGCGCACTTGTGTTTTTTTAAATATTCACACACACAAAAAAGGAATTCACACCATCCAAAGCCAAAGTGGTAATCATAAAATACATCCTAACCAGAAAACCAACCTGAATCTTTACCATATAAATGAAGCCGCTACTATCGGAAAAAACAAACCCCGTCCAATGAGCCAGTGGTGCAGGAATGGGAATGATATGATGCTATCTGTTTTTCGGTCTACAACAGCCATGGCATGTACGTACATGTCATCCATCGGCTATGGGTTAATGTCTATTTCTTCTGCATCGTCACTATTTTGTTTTAGAAATGACTTAGAATTGACACAACCTTGAAAATGAAACATTTCTCATTGATGTTCTGTTGTGGAAGGTCCATATGAGCTGTCAAATATTGCTGTGGTGAGAACGTGCATGTGCAGATTAGTGTAAAGAAATGCACAAGTAAACCTTAAAACACGGTAAAATAACATTAATAACAAACACTAAAAGCATAAACACAGTACAACAGACAATGACAATTAGCAAAATATAATTCTGACAAGCGCATAATATGATGTGAACTATTGGGCACAACGCAGTAATGAATTATGCAGTCAGTGTAGTATCTACCCTCGGCATGTAAACATGATGAGCGACATATGCTGCATTCAGAACTCTTCATCCAACTAATTGGACAAGTTGGACAAGATGTTTTGACCATTTGAAAACCTTGTGATTGTTACGGAGAGCAACGCATCATACAAAGTCCCAAAACTAGTGTATCACGCGAACCCAAAACACCCTTCTATTTATTCCAAAAACAGGATGGTAAGCCCCCCTGTACCCCCCATCTATTAGCACTTGATGCCAACCAATAGAAAACAGACAAAAACTGTGGGTCAATATGGATAACAGGCTAGTGGCTTACTTTTGAAACCATTTTGATATTTATCTGCATGAAATCCAATGATTTCAATGATTCTTGGTGTTGTTTCTTGTGCAAATGATTCGTTGGGGGAGATCTGAGAACTATTTTCATCAACAATCTTGATTTGTTAGTCCCAATAGCAGGGGAGGGCAAGAATATTATAGGGCAAACCAGGCTTTAAGGGACCATCCCTGAGAATGCCTGCCTTGTTCTACTCATTTCATCATAAAAAAAAAATATATATATCAGTTGGGAGACAACTCATGGATTGTTTTTGCATAATATTCAGTATGTAATTGTGCTTCGTCTCATGTATCATCTTAACCTGGTCCCCAAAATACAGAAAAAAAAAAATATTTTTTTTTTTTCTCAGGACATCAGAGGGGTCACATCCACCTCAATTAAAAAAAAAAAAAAAAACTTGCATTAGATTTATCCAATGCTAAGGCTGTGTAGATTTCAGATTTTTTTTTTTTTTTTTTTTTTTTTTGAGGGGGGGGGGGGGGTGACTGGT